GTTAGGTAACTGTTACGGTTTGTGTCTAGTTGTCCCCCCAAAAGCCTCATGCTGTCATGAGGCAGGGACTTCTAGAGTTTGAGATTAACTCATGATCCACTGGGATTATGGGTTTTAGTACTAGTGGGATTATGGGTGTGAGTACTACACCCAGCCTGGGACAGATAGACTGAATGAAATTTAAGGGAGACTCTGAGTGGCTCTTGCCATGGAGTGTTCCCTGCCCTTGCTTTGATACCTCAGTAAATATGCACCCCCACAGAGAAGATTTTGGTTTTAGCTCCAGAGAATCTCAAATTTTGTGAGAGGAATTTGATCCTCCTGCAGCCCTGAAATCACTCTATTTGTCTCTTCTATTTAGTTTTGCTGTTCGCTTCTTTGGGAGATTGAAGACCTCATTAGTGCAATAACTAAGGGACTAAGTCAACTCAGTATATTTCTTGATTACTCATATATCTAGATGCACACACAGGAGCCCCCCAGCCCCCAATTCAGGCAGGATATAGAGAATGGCTGTGCCGTGAACGCGTGGGGACATTCTGCTTTAAGAAAGCTGAGTCTTAGGTGCAGATGGAAAGTTGGTACCTTGGAGGGTATCGTATAAGGCTTGTTGCTGCTACTCCTCTCTTTTGCTCTCTGCCTCTGCCATGAACTGCTGCTCTCTGCCATGTGCTGCTCAGCCTTGGTACCAGCTGAGTATGGACTGAATGAACCTTTCCTTCCTTCATTGTGGGTGTCGGATATTTGTCCCAGCAACGAGAGAAGAAGAGTAACCAAGACAGTAACCAAACAAACTGTGGCAGTAGAAACAGTTCTAATAACTTCCTACCAGGACATTCTCAATGGATAACAGTACCATTAAACCTTGGGAACCTCAGCTTTATACATAATTATGACTAAACTTAGGGACTTCAGAACTTTTCATCCAGCTTCTATAGCATGGTAATTCAGTTAAAATTCATTGTTGACCTGATGGAATTGGAGTAGTCTCTTCCTGTCTGATCTGACTTCCGTGTTACTGATGGGGCCCCGAGGTGCAAAGCAAAGGAGCAAGGTTCCTACAGTAATGGATGGACAGGGAAGCCAGACACAGAAAGTGCTGCCATCTTCAAAGCACTTCAGAACACACAGGACAGTTTTAACCTTGCAGTGCTTTTACATGGGACAGGCATGATAATCTTTAACAAAAACCATTAGAAATGCTTTGTGTTCCGAGAAGCCAATGCACTGTGCTATTGCTTTATTTTTCATCCACCTTATTTGTCCATTTTGGTGATAGGAAAATACTTATACAGCACTTTTTAATCTTACAAAGCTCTTTTTTTGTTTTTTCATTTGGAGACAGGGTCTTGGTGTATAGTTCAGGCTGGCCTTGAGCTCACTCTGTAGCCCAGGATGGCCTTGAACTCTCAGCAGTCCTCCTGCCTCAGCCTCCCGAGTGTTAGATTAGGCATGCCTGGCTTACAAAGCATTTGTATATTGTAAATTCTCACTTGAGTCTCAGGACAGCCTTTCCAGGTAGGGAAAGAACACTGTAATAGACAAGACTAAGACTAAAGAAGATTTAGTAATATGATCAAGCATGTAAATAGCAGAGTTAGATTTGAGTGCAGCCTTCTGACCCTGAAAACCTGTCCCTTTCTACTCATAGAGTTTTATATAACTACATCTAACACTATACAGCCATGTAACTTTGCATATAGCTAAAAGTTATTTCAGAATTTTCTTTTAAGTCAGATTATTGGTATGACATCCCGCTATTGAAAGGAGGTCTCTCTGGTCATCCCTTTTGTTATGAAGATAATGATGTATTAAGTTAATAGTAGCAGCCTTGTGTTAAATGTCTGCCATGGGTCAGGCAGCGTGATAGTTACTTGTGATGCCTGATGCTTAAGATCAGTAAAGCATTTTATAAGTGAAGCTTTGCAGCCAATCCAGTAATTTACGTTTGCCTCCAAAGTACCAACTTTCCATCTGCACTTAAGATTCAGGTTTCTTAAAGCAGAATGTCCCCACGTGTTCACGGCACAGCCATTTTCTATATCCTGCCTGCTGGAGGGCTCCTGTGTATGCATCTAGATATATGAGTAATCAAGAAATATATTGAGTTGACTTTGTCCCTTAGTTATTGCACTAATGAGGTCTCCAATCTCCCAAAGGAGTGAGCAGCGAAACTAAATAGAAGAAACAAATGGAGTGATTTCAGGGCTGCAGGAGGATCAAATCCCTCTCACAGAATTTGAGATTCTCTGGAGCTAAAACCAAAATCTTCTCTGTGGGGGTGCATATTTTCTGAGCTATCAGAACAAGGGCAGGGAACACTCCAGGGCAAGAGCCACTTAAGGACTTCCCCGTAAGGCATTATATTAATTTAGAGAGCTCTAACTCCTGCAAGGTCTCCTCCCCAGTGAGCCGCCTGAGGCTCCAAATCTTTATCTAGTTGGGGTGGGAGCCAGGTGTCCCCAGGTGTGGCCTTGTCTTATCGTTTGAGGCCTGGCAGCTTCACCACCACCGCAGGCCCCAGCAGTGAGTAGTGACTCAGAGGTTCACTTACTGTGAGCCGGCGCCCACCCCCAGACAGGGGGCTTCAGCCTGGGACAGACTCACAGTGAACACGGAAGCCAGATGATTAGTTTATGTCCTGCTCAGGGCTGCTTTTTAGTGGTCTCCATCAAAAACACAGTACTAGGAGCTGGAGAGATGGCTCAGTAGAAGAGCCTGAGTTCAATCCATGGTTCCACAAAAAAAAAAAAAAAAAGTACTACTATTATTTCAGAAGTCCATGAAGATTAAGAAAGAAGGCAGGAAGGAAAGTCAGTGACTGTGTATGCCTGTAGGGTCGCTGCACGGCAAGGTCAGATGTTCTTCGTTGTAATAATATTAAGTACTAATGTACGCTTTTAGCAGAATCAAAGCACCCACCACCTTAAAATATTTAGGAAGTTTGTCCAAGTTTATAACACTAAATTATCCTCTATTATTCATACTGAGTGTGTGAAATTCATTTTGTAGCAAATGACATATCACAGGATTTGTTCAAATAGTGTTTTCAGTATATGAATGTAAATAATCATAGATAAAAATGTACTTAGCTGTGTTTTCAAATAAGTAAACCTCCCCCCTTTATTTAAGATGTTGAAGGTAGGCATCAATTTGCCTGCTTTTCCTGATCTACCTGTTATTTTGTTGTGGTGATTCATTCCGTTATATCTCAGAAGGATTCAGAGTGTTCAAAATTATTTTGACAGCCATGACCTATATCACTGACCCCTTCCTTGGCCAGTGACTCAGGATAGAGTTCATGGCTAATTATAAGTTACTGATCAATCTTTTTGATATTCCAAGCTATAATAGAAAAAATTAGCCACTTTTATGTTTTTATGAAGGCCATGGAATAAAGGTATCCAAAGATTTAAAAATAAATAAATAAATAATCTTCTAAAACTTTTCTCTAAATTCCATAATTAATAGACTCAGTCTATTTTTTAATTTAAATATAATTTCAGTCTGTTTTTTAAAAGTTTTTTTTATTTGTGTGTGTGTGTGTGTGGCCAGTTCAGCCCACCAGGGGGCGGGGCAGGCTGGCATGTGGTGCTGGGGGATTGAACCGCGGTCCCTGTGCTTTGCTAAGCTTGTTCTAAATAGGTGCTTTAGACCACTGAGCCATCTCACCAGCCCCTTTAGTCTGTTTTTAATACTAAAACATTATGTTTTGCCTTTGTGGGCACTTTCCCTCTTAGCATGATCTTCGCGACTGTACTGTGGAGACTGGCCCAGGCCTCCTTCTCAGAGGCCTCTCTCTGTCTGGAGCTGCCCTGCAGAGCTGTGGTCTGAGCTGGCCACAGGGGTACGGGGAAGCCCAGCACGGTGAGCTCCGTGTTGCCCACACACTTGGGGAAATGGACGAGACTAGTGGCTGGGGAGCTGAGGGGCAGGTTCTCCACTGGCTTGTGTCTCCCCTCAGACATGAGGCCTCCAACCTCCCGGGGCCCCACTGTGTATTGAGTGGTGAAAGAAAAAATGAACCAGACTCTCAAGTTTGACTTTATAGTACGTATCTTGAATGCACAGTTTCCATTTGGAGCATTCTAGGAGGCAGAAGGAGGAGGATGCCAAGCTCAAGCCCAGCCTGGGCAACTTGGCAAATGAGCAAGATTCTGTCTCACAGTTTAAAAAGCTGGGGCTGTCGCTCTGTGCAAAGGCTGTGGATTCAGTAACCAGGCATAATTTATCAAGTGGTATCATTTATTCAATTATTTAACTATTACTCTAATGCCTTCTTACTGTCTTTTTGCCTAGGTCGAACTGGAAGGTACACCCTTATAGAAAAATGGAGAGACACTGAAAGACACTTGGCACCTCATGAAAATCCTATCATCTCCCTAAACAAATGGGGGCAGTATGCCAGTGACGTGCAGCTCATCCTGCGCCGCACGGGGCCATCGCTCAGTGAGCGGCCCACCTCGGATAGTGTGGCTCGGATTCCCGAAAGAACTCTGTACAGGCAGAGTCTGCCCCCCTTAGCCAAGCTGAGGCCACAGGTAGACAAGTCAATCAAGAGGAGAGAACCTAAGAGGAAGTCACTGACCTTCACAGGAGGTGCCAAAGGGTTAATGGACATTTTCGGAAAAGGCAAAGAAACTGAATTTAAGCAGAAGATGCTAAATAACTGCAAAACCACAGCAGATGAGTTGAAGAAACTGATCCGTTTGCAGACAGAAAAGCTTCAATCCATTGAGAAGCAGCTGGAATCTAATGAAATAGAAATACAATTTTGGGAACAAAAATATAATTCTAACCTTGAAGAAGAAATCGTCCGCCTAGAGCAAAAGATCAAAAGAAACGATGTAGAAATTGAGGAGGAAGAATTTTGGGAAAATGAATTGCAGATTGAACAGGAAAATGAAAAGCAGCTGAAGGATCAACTTCAGGAAATACGGCAGAAAATCACGGAGTGTGAGAGCAGGTTGAAGGACTACCTGGCCCAGATCCAGGCCATGGAAAGCGGCCTGGAAGCTGAGAAGCTGCAGCGGGAGGTGCAGGAGGCGCAAGTGAACGAGGAGGAGGTGAAGGGGAAGATCGGGAAGGTCAGGGGGGAGATCGACATCCAAGGCCAGCACAGCCTGAGGCTGGAGAATGGGATTAAAGCTGTGGAAAGGTCTCTGGGACAGGCCACCAAGCGGCTACAGGTAGGCGCATTGTTATAAAGAGGGAAGTTCTTGGATGTTAAAAAATTAACATACTCTTAAAATCTTCTTTCATGATTATGTCTCTAAGTTTTAAAGGCTTTAAATTCTCTGTATTGAAAGAATTAAAAACCTAGGTCAATTTAAAAGTCTTATGGTTTTACTTCCTATACTTCCGTTTTTATACTTTTCTGTTGGATGGGTAAGACCAAGATAAAGCAAGACCTGTGCAACAAGAGTTTAGCTTTTGGATCTGATAAGGTCAGTCAAATCCCCTCAGGATTTATTTATCCTGAGATCCTGTACCTCAGATTGTAGAACCTTTGTCAGTGTCAGCCATGTGGATGAGTCACGGCCATTGCTTGGCCAATGTGCTCTCTGTGACAGCCTGAAAGAATGCTTTCTCTCCATGGGACTCTCCCCAGGCACACCCTACATCATCAATCACCCTCCTCTTTGGCCCCATAATCTCCCTGATCAGAAAATTTGGGACACAACTGAGCTACATGTCGCTATAAGTTCTCATCTGTCCTGAGTCTTAATTGACCTTGGAAGGCTAGGGCCAAAATGTTGGCTTTCCTTGCAGCCCTCCTTTTTCTCCAATTTTTGGTCTGCAAACTTAGGTTGCCAAGCCTCCAGAAGAGAAGCTCATTGTTATTACCATACAGCCTAGGCTGTTAAGCTTAACCTCACTATCTGTCTGAATATCAAACATTTGAGGCATAACATGGAATAGCCATGCTGTTATGTTGAGCTGTAGGGGACTCAGGTCAACAATATGTGACATTGCCAGTCAAGCAGAAGACCCAATACTATTATGGACTACTGGACTCTTTTGGAATATTTTGCTGAGTTAACACACCTATAATATTCAAATGACAGAACTAAACAAAAAAGGGGATAGAGATGAATGTCCATTTTGTATCTGTGTATTCAAAATGGTTAAGATAGATATATAGTTACATTCTCTTAATGAATAGAGGGATTTGTTGTAATAGTGTTTGTAAATACGATATCATGTCTGCATCTTGTACAGCAAACAACCACAAGGAAGAGAGTATGCAATGTGTTAATTATTAAAACTGTCCTACCAATTTGGTTTGAAACTGTCTCATTGCTATTTGTTTCTCAGTAAAATTATGGAGAAAAAAAATAAAATAAATGTCTTACGGAACCCCTGTGATGTAAAAGAGACAGAGCTTACCCATGAGGCCAGACCCAGATGGTAGGAACGCCGCACTCATTCCTCCCTGCGGAAGCGGCCTGGTAGCTGTGCCATGTGGGTGAGCCAGCTGGAAGGAGGGGCAGAGCCTCCGAGCTGGAGAGCTCCCCATCGGTCAGGGAGTGCCTCTGACTCCTTCCGGACACTGAAGCCAGGAGGGACTGTCACCGATTGGTGGCCAAGACTAACTGTTACCTGTCTCTGTCTACGTCACTGCTGTCACCCTGATTTCGGCCCCAAGATGAGGCCTCTTCCCTCCTCTCCTCTCTGTGATACCCTGCTTTGCTCTCCTGAGGAGAAGGGCACAAAGGATCCTCTCCAGTCTTCCCCTCTCCCGGACATGTTTCCCCACTTAGACCCTGGTCACTTATTTTTCTTCTTACCCATTCTTGAAGACATTGTGATTGTATAAAGTCATCTCCAAATGAATGATGAGGTAAGAAACAGGCACAGTTGATTATAACACGGCTATCTAAATAGTCAATAAGTTAGCTTAAAATATTCGATAATTTTACAGTTCTGTGTTTAATCACAGCCACGTTTCAGGGTCTCGGTCACACATGCGGCTGGCTGTGGTGCCGGACAGCACAGATGTCAAAGGCTTCCTTCACGGCCGCGAGTCCTGTTGGACTGCGCTCAGTGGCAGCCCACACTCAGCCCAGTGCAGGACAGGAAGCCTCGGGCACGCTGTCCGTCAAGAGTCTGCACCCTGAGACCCCTGGTCTTACCTGGGCACACTGAAACTGAGAGGCTGCTGTAGCGCCAGCACAGACAGGCCCACGGCCGGAGGCGCTCACGTGGCTTCAGGATTTGCCAGGGGCGCCTTTCTCTGCTGCTCGCTGTAATGTAAGGTAAAGTGAGTAGTAAAACTACCGCCAGAATTTTGAAAATCAGGAACTGCTCATGCAGCAGAAAGTTGTTAGTCTCTCATTACCAGTGTGTTACTACCGGGTTTCACTTCGACATTTAAGAAGAAATGCATTGGAAATTATACTGCCCTTGACATTATTTACTTGAGACACTAATTTGCATTAATCATTACTAGTAAATCCCACCACCCATTGGGAAGTGTCTAGTAATCAAATCACTAACACATCACTAAGTACACCCTTTAGTCAGAGAAATTGCATTTCTTTTCTTTTTCTTTTTTTTTTTTTTTTCTTCTTTTTTTTTCCCCCACTACTAGATTGGACTCATAGTGATCTGCCTGTTTACAGCCTCCCAAGAGTTTAGATTATAGGCGTGTGCCCTCACACCCAGTCTTAATCGCCATCTTTGCGCGCCCTGGGAGCGGAGTCTGCACAGTAGGTCCAGGGATGCAACCCTGGGCCCCTGGGCCTGCCTGCAGGCACTTCAATCCGCTGAGCTCTTTGGCCAGCCCTTACTTCTTCAGCTTTTTTTTTTTTTTTTGTAATGTTTTTATTTTATTGGTACCTTTTAGATATACATGATAATGTTCATCACAGGGAATTTGTACCCAAAGATGACAAATCTTGCTGCTTCTCTTTTGTTCTGTTCTGCTCCTGCTCCTTTTCAACCTTCTTCCCCTCCTTATTTACAAAAGCTTTGTTTCCATTTTTTTCACATGTTGTTTTCTTGTTTCTTTGAATTTTCCCATCTTCCCCCCTTCTTTATTCCCCTTTTCATTTGATTTTTTTTTTCCTTTTTTTTTCAGAACCTGGAATTGAACTCAGGCCCTTGCACTTGCCAGGGAAGTGCTTATTCCACTGAGCCATCTCCCTGGCCGCAAAAATAACATTTTTTTTTAGGGAAGGTTCTACTGGGTGTTCAGAGTCTCACAACTAGATCAGACTCGTAGTGATTCACCTGTTTACAGCCTCCCAAGAGCTGGGATTACGAGCAAGCTAGCTAGCAAGCGAGCATCACCATGCCCAGTCTCGCCCAGTCTCAATTGCTGTCTCAGAGCGCCCTGGGGGCAGGGCTGGCACGGCAGGCCTAGGGAGCAAATTTCTGGCCCCTGCGCCTGCTTGCAGGCGCTTTAATCCGCTGAACTATTTGACCGGCTCATTTGAATATTTTCTGCCCATTTCCCGATATCTATTATACATTTTCAGTTTTTCACACCAGAGAAATAGTGCAGTATTTGAACATATGTGTCTGATTTATATCACTTAAGAGTGTGGTCTCAAGGTGTAGCAGTTTATCTAGCAATGTCTCAAGTTTCTCCTTTATAGCAGAGTAGTATTATTGCATTTAAAAAATAAAATAAAATCCACATCTTTGTCCATTCAGCAGTTGACATTTGGGCTGTTTCCCAGATTGAACTGTTACGAGCTACACTATACATATGGGTGTGCAGACATCAGCATGGTATGCTGCCTTTAATTCTTTCAGGAAGATGCCAAGGGGAATACCTGGGTCGAATGGGGCCTCTAATTTTTAGGTTTTCTGATAAATCTCCACACTGATTTCCAGGGTGGTTGCACCAGTCTGCGCTCGACCAACAGTGGAGGGCAGAATCCTTCTTTCCCTCAGCCCCTCTGCATTTGTTACTGCTAGAGTTCCTCATCATAGCCATTCTTTCTGGAGTGGGGTAGAATCTCAGCATTCTTTAATTTGCATCTCTTGAATGACCAGTGATGTTGCACATTATTCATTTTATTTGCCATCTCTACTTCCGCTGAGAAGTGGCTGATCATTTCAGATCCCCATTTTTGGTCTGGGTCTTTAAATTTGGGGTCCTGATTTTTTGGGTTCTTTATGTAGTCTAGATATAAATCCTCTGTCTGAGAAACAGCTGGACATTTTTTCCCCACTCTGCATTGTATCTTCCCTCCATTAGTGGTGTCTTTTCCTGTGCAAAAGCTTTTTGTAAGGAGAGATCCCAGTTGTTGATTCTCTGTGGTACTTCCTGTGCAATCAGGTTTTCTTTTTTCATAAAGTCTTTGCCTATACCAGTGTCTTCAAGAGTTCTTCCTATTCTCTCTGACGGCAGATTAAGTGTTTCTGTCTTAATATTTAGATCTTTTGATCCATTTCAATTTTAGTCTAGTGCATGGTAAAATATATGGGTGTATGGGGCTGGTTAGATCGCTCAGCAGTCCAAGCACCTGCCTGGCAAGCACAAGGACCTGGGTTGATCCCCGGTACCACATGCCATGCTGGCCCCGTGCTGAGCCGGCCACTGAAACTAGGCATGGTGATGCACACCTATAGTCCCAGTACTGGGGAGGCTGAGACAGGAGGATCATTATGCATCCAAGCTGTGTAATGAGACCCTGTACCAACTAATAAAATAAATAAAAAGATAGTCTAGTTTTAATCTTCGGCACATAGAAAGCCAATTTTTAAGCACTGCTTATTAAAGAGGAAATCTTTCCTTCAGTGAAGATGTTTGGCTCCTTTATCAAAGACCAGGTGGCTGAGTATGGTTGGGGTTGTTTCTGCATCTCCTAATCTGTTCCGTTGATCCCTGGGTCTGTTTTTGGCCAGTACCATGCTTTTGTCACAGTGACTTTGTAGTATAATTTCAAGTCAAGGGTGCCTTCAGCCTTGCCTTTGTTGCTCAGGAAGCTGTTCTTTAATTTCCATCTGCTACTCTGCCTGGGAAATTTTCATTACTCTACGCACAGAGTTTTTTTAAATTCCTTTGTGCTATCTCCTGCTTTTTCATTAACTCCAGTCAGTCTTGTCATTCTTCTTCCCATTATCTAGCAGAATGAAGAAATAATGGGAACTTAAGAAACCCAATGAAAGCAGTCATGGGGGGGCCAGGAAAATAGCTCAGTAGAATAAGCACTTGCCTGGCAAGCTCAAGGGCCTGAGTTCAATCCCC